ACAGTGATGGATGGGGTAACCTCCTGGTACATTCCCCAGGTGACCAGAGTGAGGGAGCAACAGGTGGCCCGGGCCACAGTGCTCCAGGCTCCTCCCCACCTGGACTACCTCTTGCTGCACCAGGGAGAGGACAGGACAGAGGGCCCTGTAGAGGAAGCTGAGACCAGCTCATCGAAACACAGGAGGGCTGAGATGTCAGGGGTGACGCCTCAAGAGAAACCCGCGCCCTTAGTTGCAGGCCAGAGCCTCACCTGCCCACTAGGCACTGGCTCTCCTACACCTTTGCTATGCCCTTTCCAAGCTCTTTGGGGTACAGTGTCAGACCATTTGCCTGAATGGGACCCGAAGACTTGGGTCCGGTGTCTTGGATGAAGGGACATGGTGGCGGGGCGGGGGCGGGGGGAGACAGAGACACAGGGAGGGCGAGGAACCAAGCCTGGTGGGGGCTCTTCTCATTCTTGGTGTCATCCTGCTAGCAGCCTGACCAGAGCCAGGCTGTCACCCGACAGATCAAGGTGACCTCAGTGCAAACACCCATAAACCAGGCACGCAGCAGGAGTGGGGCCAGGGAGGGGCTAGCTGTAGAGAGTGGTCGAACCTTTGGCCTTTGGAATCACCCCCACATTCCCTGGCCACTGTTGTGAAACATACTTTCTAAGCAAATAGCCTAGGGCCAGCTCTGTGTGGCCTAGCTCTAGGGTCCTGGAACAGATGGGGCAAGGAGGTAGAGTGGGATGGCTCGGCCGCACCCTGTGCTCGCCCTGAGACAGACCTAGAAACAGTCACTTGGGACAAGCCAGGAAATTCACTGGAGGAGGGAAGTTAGCTTGGGCCCAGCCTGGAGATGAGCTGCCCTCAGCTAGGAGGGCAGTGGAAGCAGTTGTAGAAGCAGGAAGTAGGAGCGGGGATAAGGGGCTTGAGGAAACAGAGGTCCGTGCAAACTAAAGATGGCAGCGCAGAGGACCGGCGGATGCAGCCACACTGAACTCAAAGCCCCGGGCTTCTGATCTCGCAAACAGGGCCATGCATAATGTCAGGGATGTTGCAAGGACTAAACTAAGGTGTTGCAGCACCAGGTGAGAGCGGTCACCTGCCGTTTCTGGCTTGGGGGTCTAAGGAAGGTGGTCCTTCTTTGCCTGGAGGGAGTGGGTGTGCACTGTAAGCGGGTACAGGCAGATGCGGTCTATTTTAAGGGCACATTCAAGAAGCACAGGGGTGCTAGAGATGACAGTTGAGATCAGAGGGCGGCCAGCCTCTCTGAGTTCGCCCAGTGTGCATGGCTTCTCGAGTCAGGACACTTGCTCCTTGACCCTCCATTGCTTTTCCAGGTGTTGCCTCTGGCTGCTGCTGGTGGCTCATCAAAACGCCCCTCCTCAGTCCAGAGCCCTGGGGTACCAACAGAGAGTTGTGATTAGAAAGTTAAGTTGTTTGTCCAGATGGCCTGACTTCTGTGCTTCTTGGCAGTGTGGCCTTGGGTGGATAGCTTCACTGCTCTGTGTCTGACTATAAGGCGGGTAAGATCCGCAGAAAGAGAAAGGAGGTGACCTTACAGTGGATGGAAGAGGTGGAGGATTGGACTCCAGGTGCCCTATGGGCAGAACCTGGCCTTGCCAGCTACAGCTCAGCAAAGAGGGAGAGTCTGTATGCAAATGTGGATGTGTGTGTAAGACTAGAGGGGAATTGGAAAATATGTGAATGGCACACAAAGCATGTGTGGACTGGTGCAAATGTGTGTCACTGGGGATAAGAGTGTCTCCATGGGAGGCTCTGTGGAATAATATGAGTTTCCATTTAGTAAGGCCCCTGGTAGGCCAGGGGAGATGCTAAGCCTTGTCTGCACATTATCTCATCCAGGACTCATAGGGAGCCAGGAAGAAGGAATGACCTCCAGGCCAAAGAACAGTAACAGGTCCACAGAGGTGAGGTGATTCGTCCATGGCACAGAACTGAAAGTTAGCTCAATTCCCTCCTATGGGGGTGGGTAGCTAGGACCAGAAGACACAGCTCCATGGCGTGTGTGTGTGTGTGTGTGTGTGTGTGTGTGTGTGTGTGTGTGTGCTGCCCAGTGCCTGAGGCTTCCTGCTGCTACCATATGTTTTTTTTTTTACACATCTGGGCCCAAAGCCCCACAATGCTTGGCACTCCCGTGGACAGGGCTTGTTTAGATCACTTGTCTGGCCAGCACTCAGGGACCACAAGAGGTCTTGGATCCTGACACTCATGTGGTGTGTTGACACAGTGACCTGGGAGTGTTGGGCTGTGGCAGTCTGTTGACTAGTAAGGGCTTGGATAAGAGAATAGCATTCCCCACAGATCCTGACCTCCTCGCAGGCTCCCCTAGGGAATAATTGTTACCCTCAGTCGGGGACCTGGATCACTACAGCTGAGAACCTGCCGGGATCAGGCAATGGTAGGAACGTTCAGCTGCTGGCTCTGGCTGAGGCAGAGTGGGTATGGCCGTGTCCCTGAAGTCCTTGGCAGGCTGAGGCAGAAAGGCCATGCCATGACCAGAGGTGAGCCGTGTGTGGAACGGGTCTGGACACGAGTCCTCTCCTTATTCCCTCCTCCCTGGATTCGATGGTAGCACACTCAGAAACCGACCTTCTTCCCAGGTTTCCCAAGTCTGGTAGCAAAGCCACATTCCTGCAGCTCCCACTTAGTTTGGGACTGTCCTCTGGAGGGGCACAGGACATGTTGGCCATGGAGAGGAAGAATCTGAGGCCAGTCTGGGCTTAGCACTAGTCATCTTGTCTGAAAAGAACTTTAGCTTAGGGACAAATTAAATGACCTTTCTCGGGCCTGGTGACCTTCTGAGACCTGTGAGTGAAGAACAGTGGTCTGTCTGGCCATCCTGAAGGCGGTTGCTTTCCAGGTACCATGCAGCTCGTAACTCTCAGTGAATCAAGAGAGCAAGTAAGCATGGAGAGGCTGCAAGTGTGTCCATCTGCACGACACAGGAGACTGGCCAGGCAATGTCCTTGTCCATGGGAGTGCCGATGTACAGGAGACTGGGAATAGAGACACCAGGAACTGAGTCCTCTTCCCCCAGGGACAGGTCACTTCTTCAACCCCGAGCCTTAGCTTCCTTCTTCAGGAAAAACAGGGACGGCAGAACTGATTTCAGAGGGTGGGGACAGAAAGCCATCTGACCTGGTTCTTGCTGCCTAAGTAGACATTTTGTAAGCAGCTGTCTGCTTTTAAGATTCACGCTTGATGGCCTCTTGATGGCTTGGCTCTCAGGTAGACTGCTGGTGTGTCTTTCTACCTTTCTCATCTCTCTTGGCTCTGCACACCCCAGTGCAGAGTCCAGTTGGGAACACAGAGACCCTAGACTGTGTACCCAGAGCCATTGCGTGTTGCAAGGTCTCCATCTCCAAAGGTAGGAGGGCTCAACTTCTTCCATCCTGCCCTCCCCGACATAGATGTCCCCACTACAGCTACAGAGATCAGTGGATGATGCAGTGAAAGATTCAGTAGCTCCAGCTCCCATCGAGTGAGATGATGGCTATGGAACTCATATAAATGGCAGAGTACCTTTTAAAGAAAGGTGCTCAGCCAATTATCTCCATTGAAAAGTGACAAGAAGGAACTGAAATTTAATTCCTGATAGAGCCCTTAACTAGTAAGTCTGAGACCCTAAGTTAGAACCCTCGTTCATTAAAATGAAAAAGAAAAGTGGAGAGGAAGAGGAGGAGGCAGGCAAGTGCGCGGGGGTGGGGCGGGGGGGAGCATAAATAGGAAGTCTTTCTATCTTTGGCAATACCCAAACCAAGCCCCAAATCCAGATCTTTCCCCAGGCTCTTTCCTATCTTTTCTACACCGAGTGGCGGCTCTTGCTAATGCCATGCCTGTCCCTGTTTGTGTGCTCAAATTCAAGTGTCAGGCTTGCATATCAAGCTCCGGGTAGGCGGCTTCGGCTTGTCCCTGGAGCCCGCAAGTCTATAGAAGACCAGCAGGGGGAGACATTGGCACGTGGGTACGTCCGCTGGGACCTGAAGAAGGCGAGTAGGTCAGACCGGGAGGGTCTGAGCTATGGGATTGAGCCAAATTATAAGCAAAGAGACAAGGAGGGGCGGAGAGAATGGGCCAGGGCTGGGAGACAAAGCCCCAGATGGTGAGGCCGAGGCCGGGAAAGGCTGGAGTCCGGAATCCCAGGGCCCAGATGCCCGCTTATGCTCTTTCAAAAGGCTTCTGCTCTGCTCCTTTTCCTCTCTGCCTCGATCTTTCTGTATAGCCATGACCTTTTGTCCCTACTCGCCTACCCCAGGCCCTTTCGTGTGCCTCCAGACAAGACTGACTCTAAATCTGTGTACCCAGGGACGGGACGGGGGGGGGGGGGTGTCCCACAGGGCTCACTGTCAAAGATGAGATTCTTAAAGGCTTGCTCTCTTGATGCAAATAAACTCCCTTTCCTTTTTGGACACAGTACTTTTTCTGAGTCTCCATCACCCATAGCTGACACTTTTGTTGTGGTCAATGAAAGGAAGGAGTGTGTTTTGAGGACAGAAAGAAGGCCCAACAAAATGTGGATACTGGACTAGGGGCAGGCAGACTGATTTGGCCACAGAAGTGGGCACAGAGTGGGATTCTGCAGCTGATATGCGAGTGTGTGTGTGTGTGTGTGTGTGTGTGTGTGCGCGCGCGAGCGCACACGCGCGCGTGTGTGCGTGTGTGTGTGTGTGTGTGTGTGAAAAGAATGCAAGAACTGCTCTCTGGAGGTACTTGGGATAGGGCTTGTCTGGTCTAGGTCAGTGGGCCGGATGGTGACCAGGTGTGCGTAAAGCAGGGCCGGCCAGCAGCTTTTGAGAGGAGACAACTTCCCAAGAACACTCTGGGAACCAGACTAAGCGGGACACAATCATAACCGCAAGAGCCGCACATTCAGATTAGTGCCATCGAGAGCGCAGCGTCCTTAAGAGCTCCCCGAAACCCCGCCCCTTCCTGCTCTGTGGGCGTGGTGTGGGGCAAGGACCCCGTCACGGAGCTTTCTATTGGTTCGAAGGAGCAGGGTTGGCTTTGCGCTCGCCTGAGCAGGAGAGTAGAAAGCTCAGCGGCAGCGGAGGGAGTCTATGCGCGCTGGACAGCAGTGGGGGGTGTGTGAGGTTCGCACTGACTGCAGACTCTCGGGCTCAATCGCCGGGGATTAAGGACTTGGCGACCGGGCTGCCGGGCTACCCGGCCGAGGCTTTAGAGGCGCAAATTGGTGGGACTGGTTTGCTCAGCAGGGTCGTGCTAGTCTTTTAAGTACACCGAGAGGGGCCAGTGCTAAAGTAGAAGCTGTCGTGGGACGCGCGGCGCGGAGTCCCACTGTGGCCCGGAGGAACGGAGTCCGTGCTAGGGGGACCCAGTCGGGAGCCTGGGGATCGAGCTTGCGTTGCTGGAAGATATCCCCCCTCTTCTCCCCAGAGGCGTCCATCCCAGGACCGTCGAGGCGTCGGGGCAACCACTGAGCGCTCTGCGGGGAGACCCCATTGGAGAGAACACTCGCAGTCTCCAACAGTCTGGGGGAGCCGAGCGGAATCCGGCGGGATCACTCGGGGGCGGCGAGCCCCCGTCGCGCCTCGTGCGGCGGAGAGGCCAGGGGAGAGAGTCCTCGGAGGCCGCAGCCCATGCCCGGGTTGGGGACGCCTGCCCAGTGAGTCCTCCTGGCCAGCCGGGCGCAGGAGAGCGACCCCGAGGCCGGCGGGAGGGGAGTGCTTCAAGGCCGGCGGCTGCGGAGGATGGGCGCCTGAGTGGCTCCAAGCGCTGCGCGGCACGGGCAGGCGAGGCGAGCTTTGCTGAGGAGGCGCCCGGGGATCCTGAAGTGCATCCTGCCCCCGGGAAAATGGCCCGGCCTGGGCAGCGTTGGCTCAGCAAGTGGCTTGTGGCGATGGTCGTACTGACGCTGTGCCGGCTGGCCACGCCGCTGGCCAAGAACCTGGAGCCGGTGTCCTGGAGCTCTCTTAACCCTAAGTGAGTAACTTATCTGCTCTGGTTCCTGAGGGTGGGAGGCACTCCTTCGGGGTGAGGTCGTGCACCCCCAAGTGAGTGTGTGGGGGTGTCCGTAGGAGGTGCGGCGCCCTATTTTGTATCTGGCCTTTACTAATGTTTTCTTGCGGACAGTCCGGGCAGGGTGCAGAAGGGTGGGGTGGGGGCACTTGACTGTGTTGTGACCCTTCGGGTTGGCCCTAGCTTCCTCAAGTCCCAGATCGAGTCGCGATGGTCACACCAGGCAGATTAGGATGTCTGGGCGCTCGAGAGCGCACCCGAGAGCTGGGTGGGGGCGAGTAAGCAGCTCACTCCGGGGCCCCTGGGAACGTGGTGGTTTTCACTCACAGCCACTCTATGGGTGAGATCGACCTGAAGGAGGGACCAGGCCAGAACACAGGTTCCTCTTTTGCTTAGGTGTCAGGGCGGCTCGGGACCTAGCGCCCAGGGCGAGTGGCAGCATCTGTATCGCTTCTCCAGCTTCTCCCATTTTCATTTGTCTTTCTTCCCTGTCTGTTTGCCTCCCTGTCTTTCTCTTTGCCGTCTCTTCTTGCACCCCCCCCCTCCATTTCTCCCTGCCGGGGAGGTAGAAAGGCGGGCGCTGCTTCCAGGCTCACAAAGGCGGCGGGTGGAGAAGGGCGGAGTGGAAGAGGGTTTGTTTGAGGAGGGGGTTCCATCCAGCGCCCGTCGGGGGTCCAATTGAGCCAGGCAGTAGAGCTTCTTCGAGAGCCAGCCAGGGCTGAGAATGGTCGCGGAGCCAGCGAGGGAGGTGGGTGGGGAACGTGTGATTCCTGTCCAGGCAGGTCCTAGTCGCCTCCCCCCCCCACCCCCCATCCAGACTGGAGAGCCTTGCTTAGATTTCTCCATTGGTTTGGGGGGGGGCAGTGATATAAAGGAGGTCCTTTTCTTTCTTCTCTTTCCCCTTCCTAACTCTGCCCCCTCCCATCTCTAAACAACACACACCTTTCAGGGCGGTGGCTCAGTGGTTTCTGGCTGTTGTGACCTCTGGACCCTTTTCTCTTTTGGCATCTAGGACTCCGGTTGGAACTCAGGGTCATAATCGCTCTTCCCGTTTTCTGGAAGTCCGGGCAGTGTGTGGACAACACAGTTAGTGGAAAACTGGGGGAGGGGGTGGCTGTTCCTTCCATGTTCCCAGGTTCCTGTTTCTGGAATTTCCTTCTGTCCACTCTTGTGGGCTCTCTGCTAACTTCCTAGGTTCTTGCCTGCCTTGGCCCCTTGAATCCCAGGAATGGTGCATCTCTTACCCCAAAAGTGAGAGAAGAGGGCTTCTCGTTTTCTCCTTAGGTTAAGATAGGGTCCCATTACCCGTTGGTGGCTAAAGGGGGATCAGGGTGCAGGATTCTGCCTCCATACAAGGAAGGGGACTCGCAAGGATTTCTACCTTACTTCGGAGCTAGTTTGGTCACTGTGCCTTAACTGCTGGGGACCACATTGTTCTGGGGACCCCTCTAGGCTATTAAGCCCATGGAGGAGAGCTTGTGAAGTACCCAGTTCTTGGCTGTCAGGGTGGAGGCTGGAAATGCTCCTTGGCTAGGAGAATTGCAATCTCCCTAGGGTAGCCCATCCTGGGGGCTCATGGGAGTGACCTAATTGCTCTCTTGGGTTGAGAGACCATGCAAGTGCACAGCTGGAGAAGGAGCCCTCCTGCAGAGTTGAGGTTGCTGGGAGAAACAAGATCTATGGGAGCGTCCCTCTTTATGTGTTCCCTGCCTTTAGAGCTCTGGAGCAGTTTACAAGCTTGAGAAGGTTGTGTCTGTCCCCTCTGCTCTCTTCCTGTCCACCTCGAGCTGAGGCCAGGCATCCTGGGCGGGGGGGATGGCACTGCCTTTGGACTCAGTAGAACCTGCCTGGATTCTAGCCTGTAATCGAGCAGCTTCTGGGAACAGGTTGGACTGATCCTGGTGGTCCCCCCACCCCCATTTCATCTCTGCTCAGGGGTCTGGAATGCAGTCTATGTCTGCGTTTGTTGGCACCAGGTGCAGGCCAGGAGGACAGGACCGGGGCACTGCCCTCAGCTCCGGGGGCTGCCTGTGCCGCCGCCGCCGCCGCTGCCGCCGCCGCCGCCGCACTCAACCCTTGGGCTGCCACAGCTTTCCTGATAAGCACTGTCCGTCTTTCTGCTTTCTTCTGCCCTGAGAGTTCTCCCTCTCAGGCTGGCATTGTTGCCCCCTCTAACACCCTGTGAGAGCGGAGCTCACCTCCCTCTCCAGCTAAGCCGGCCTGCTCTCCCTCTTTCTCACACTCCCTCTCACTCTTAGTCACTCTCTGCCTCTTTTTCTCAAGTCCTTTTGTTTCTCGCACATGCCCGTGCTTTCCCTCACAGGCTCATTTTCTCTTATCCCTCCCCTCTTCCTCTCCTAGCTTTTTGGTCCCTCTCCTCAGCCCTGTCAGGAGCTGGCACCCCTCCCTCTAAATATCTCCCAGTGCCTATAAACCCTGCTTAATTGCTTCCTCCTTGGGAAAAAAAATCAAAATAAAGAAGTGATGGGGTCTGCTTCTAGGTTCCAGGGCACATGCAGCCCCAGCCCCCGGGAGCTGGAAGAGCCAGCTTAAGACTCCCAGCCTGTCTCTTGAACTGCTCCTAGCTCTTGGCTGTCCGGGTGGTAGTCCCTGGGTGATGGGAGCTTCTGCTGCCTGGGCCCCACCTGACAGATTTGCCCCCAAGAGTACAGGGTGAGAAGATGGGTTCAGTCCCACTGGGGCTTGGTGGAAACCAGAGCAAGTGTGTTTGGGGCCTGGGGGGGGCATGGCCTAAATGGTCTCAGGGAAGCCCCCTCCCCCAGCTGCTTCCCCTCGGGAACTTGGGGCAGCCGGTAAGCCTCTCACACTTGAGTCCTCGGCCAAGTCCAGCTGCTGCAGTTCCGTCTCTCGGTCCCGTTCTGACCCTGTACTGCCCCCCACTCAGGTCCCCCCCCCACCTCCAAGGAGTGGGAATGTGTTTGAGATCACATTACAAACCTTCCCTACAATGGGGGTGGGGTAGGGGGCTCAGTTTGGCATCCAGGACCCTTGACTCCATCCAGTATGGGTGGGGCAGCTGCAGACCCCAACTCCTACTTGCCTTCTCCAGGCTAAAGTCTTGGCCCCAGCCCCCTCACAGCTGTTCTAGCTCATAGTCCTGGGGAGGCCAGCCCAAGGGACTCCTTTCCAGAGTGGCTAGGGACCTGACTATTCTATTTTCTGTCTGATTGACCACAGGTGAGAGCCTGAGAGACCTGGGAACCCAGCAGTTCTAAAGGTTCCTGCTCCCTGACCCCACCCAGGGAAGCTAGGCAAGGGCTACAAGGGCCTATGAGGAAGCTGGGCTGGGGACTGAGTTGGGGTTCCCTTTCTTCTCTTGAGCTTGGGGGTCCCTCCGTTGCTCTCCCAGCTTGGGTGCATGGGGATGCCTGGGCCCTGGATACTGCTTGCCGTGCGGCACCCTTTTCTGGGGTTAGGGCTATGTATGGGGTCGACGGGCCAACCAGGAGGCTGCTGGTTGCCATGGGAATACCAGGTTTGAGGGATAGTTCAGTCTGTGATGATAAGGGGATCTGAAGTGGGGGCTGCTCTCCAGCAGCATTTTGAGATCGTGAAAGTCCCTTCTCCCCGGTATGTTTTTCGTGGTGGTGGTGGTGGTTTGGGATCAGGGTGCCAGCAAGCCCAAAGTATGAGCATTTTCATCTCACTACTTCCAAATGATACTGTGGTTGGCGTGCTAAGTAATAGGCAGGTAGCACCTTGCTTCTTACAATGTGTTCTCATATATGATCTCATCGGGTGCTCCCAACAGCGCTGGGAAGTCGGCATTGGCCCCATTTTCCAGAAAGGGGAACTGACTTGTCTGAGAGTGACTTGTTGAGTCGGGCAGAGCTGGGCTGTGTCCCATTCTTTCCATGCTCTCCTGCTGCAGGGACTAGGAAGGCACAGCTGGGTTGGAAGCAGGACCTCTGCTGCCCCTGGGTTCTCTCCCCTCTCCCCTCCCAGGCAGGCCTGCATCTGCTGTATGACTCAGGCCCTGCCCGTGTAGGGTAAGTAGTGTTCCAGCCTCTTCATTTACCTCTCCTAGGCTTAGCTCTGAGGGCATTCTGTACAGGTGACCTAGCCCAACTCACCGACTGGCACTCTGCCCCTCCCAGCTCTGAGTAGGCTCCTTTGGCTCCTCTCTGGGCCGGGATTCTCTTCCTCTTCGGAAGTCCAGGGAAAACATGGCAGCGGGTGGACTAAACCCCAGTCGACTAGCTTTGGTCAGGTGGGACAAAGAGGCGGGCACAGTTCACGTAGGTGAGGAGAGTGACTTCCTCTAGGATTCTTCTGGCTTGCCTGCCTCCGACAGAGTTGTGTGTGTGCCAGGGCCCAGCTGCTGTTCCTGCCCACCCACGCCTGGGCGGGCACTGCTGGGACACGCCAGGCCTGCTCCTGCTGCCTCGGGGGCTGGGTGGAGCTGGGGGAGTGAAAGAGGAGCCTTTAATTTGGGGGCTCCCCACCCTAGCTGGGATGAGAGCAGACTTGAGTTCTGGCTTGGGGTCTGTCGCTCATCAGTGTTACCATCCTGGGGTGAGAGCAGGCCTGGTAGTGGTGGGGTCACCGAACCAAAATTGTGGCTGGAGTCTTCTCCCACATTTAGACTTCCATGGCTGGGAATCAGGCTCCCCCTTAAACCTCTCTGGTAGAGCCCTAGGAAAGGGTCGGAGGGAAGAAGTATAGGCCTGGTGGGACAAGAACAGCTGTCGAGGCTCTTCCCCTGTCCTATAGGTGGCCTTCAGAAAGGTAGAGGAGCTCATCTGGGCTAAAGGTGCAGGTGTGAGGGCTATTAGTGTCTCATCACTTCAGGGCCTTGGAGGCGGCTGTCCCCAGAGCCTGTGGGGTTTTCAGAGCTTGGGATTGGAGCAGTCTACAGTGGGACTTCTAATCAGAAAGGCTGAGGCGAAAGCCTTGGGCTAGGAAGAGGGGAGAGGGCAGGCCACAAGACGGAGCTGAAATAGTTCCAGCTGCCTTCCTAAAGTCCTTTTACTCCCTGGGGTGGCTCCCTGGGCTCCCAGGGCTATCAGAGGCTAGGGAGGGAAGGCCTCAGGTTGCCATGGAGACCTGCTTTAGGTTTCCTGCAGGGCCATGTCAATCCCCTTATTTTCTAGAAAAGGGCTTTGTCTGGGGGTGGCCCCAGGCAGGAAAGCTTGGCTTGATGATGGGGGGGGGGGGCTAGTCCTTCCTGGAAGGTGGTGCCTAAAGAGTTTAAGTTAAAGACCTTTTCCTTTTCCTCTTCTCCCGCTCATAACTTAGTGAGAAAAGGGGGAGATAGGTAGGGTGTCCCTACAAAGTATCTCTAACACTGCCTGGCTTTGGCTTCACATCACTGGCTATACACCCACCCCTTGTTGTGATCCCATGTCCTTTTTGGGACTTCTCATGGGTCTAAGTGAAATTTGTCCAGCTAGAGGAAGATGCTAAGAAAGCGTGGGATTGGGGTCAGGGATGCAGGCCTCATTAGACTCCTTTCCCTTCCACACTTTAGGAGAAGGTGAGTTTTCTTCTGCCGGCTGCTATGCAAATGAGCTGATGAATATTTATGAAGTCTGTTCACTGAGGTTGGAGACACTCTGAGGGGTGTTGGGGGCAATAGTCCTTTCTTCTCCCCCTCCCCCCACCATGCAGACATCTGTTTCCTCAATGTGTCTGGGTTCAAAGTAGAACCCCAAGTAGCTAAATGCCCTGTTCAGTCCCGGAGCGCTGGAGTCTGGGTGAGTAGTAGTGAAAGAGTGTACCAGAGCAGACACATTTCTCTGGTGAGAAAGCCGGGGCACAGTGGCTAGGAAGTGAACTGGTCGGTCTCCCATGTTCATGTCATCTGTGTAGCTACACTCATATGTCCTGCTGTATAAGGATCAGACACTGTGGAGGTCCTGTTAGAGCCCCAGGGATTGAAGCAACTGCCCTCAATGGGAACATTTCCCTGATCATTCATTTCTTCATAATACAGGTCTAGGCTTGGTCTCTAGGGTTCCTTTGAGCTCTGAAATGTTAAAAAATGGTCTATTCTTGCCACCTGGGGAGAAGCAGAGGAAAGTGAAAAATGCCTTGAGAATCACAGAAACTTCGGTGAAACTTGTGGGCTTTGTATAGCACATGGGATGAGGGCATTCCTTCTCAGATGTTCCCTGGGGCCTCCGTGTCCTGTTTGCTTATGTTCTGTCCGCTGCAGAACTGTAGAGGTAGAGACCCCAGGACAAAGCATCCCATTCTGGCACTGGCCCTCCTGTACATCAGGATGGCACCCCTTAGCTTTGTGGAACATGACATGACATGGAAGGAGGGCTGGTCTTGGGGTTTTTTTCCCCCGATCTACTTCAGCCATTTAGTCAAATTCCCTCCTTGCCTAGTGAGGTGTCAGGACAAGGGCGCATGTTTGACAATGTGAAGACATCTGCCCAGAGCTCTCAATATGCTTGCCTCCACTGTGTTGTGGCTCTCGGCAAATGGAACCACACTGTAGTAACCCGTGAACTGGGGCTCTGTACCCACACACCAAACGATACTCTTTATTCTTTCTATGCATTACCTTTCGCCCGCCATTCTTCTTTCCACTAGAGGGTCCGTCACCAAGGGGATGAACCCCACAGTGCTTGTCGTGACCCTTGCGGAATTTCCATCTAGCCCCCGCTATCTCTCCCACCTCTTTTGATACTCTTGACTCTTTCCTGTGCAGGCTGTGTGACTCATCAGCAAGCCTGCGTTTTGTCTCACCCATGGCTGTCCACTGTTGCTGTGTACTGACATTTTATCATTTACCTAGTAGTCACCTTCATCCTGCTCTTTACATGGAACCATCTCAGAGCATCATCACAGTATTGGGGTGAGATGGGCTGTCTTCTTCCTCTTGATACCTCCCGCCTGGGACATGTGAAGTCCCATCTTCACATGTAACCTACAGATAGCCTGGAGCTGTCTATGGCTAGAGTGTGGGCTGTTTACTTTTTGGAACCAAACCAGATAATCAAGTCCGTGAGAGTCAAGCTGTGTCTTCTCTTCCTAGATCTTGCCTAAGAAACCACAGAACTTAATGTTGGTATCTGATCTTCTGCTTCTTGGCGGACAATTTCAAAGAAGGATTCCATGTTACTGAGTACCTACTGCATTCTAGGTGCTCAGCCACCTCCAATCCTAGGAGTTAGAGACCCTAGTTTATAAGTGAAAAAAAAAAAAGGAAGTTCAAAGAGACTGTGCAGCTCGTCCAAGCCACTAAGGGCCTAGCTTTGGAATTTGGTTCCAACATGTGTTCTTTCTTCCTTGTTCTCAGCTTCTGCCTGCACAAGCTGAGAAATGGCCAACAGCGCCTCACTTCTTTACTGTGCTTTCCAGACTAGACAGTGAAGCCTGGTCCAAGGCATGTAGTCATCTCCTCTTGGGACCTGTAGTAGCTGCAGTGTAGGAATAAGAAGGTAGATTACAGGTATGTGGGCTTCCTAAGATCCTGTGATCCTGTCTTAACATCTGTTGTCCTTGGTAGGACTGTCCTTTCTTTTTTCTTTCTTTTTTGTTTGTTTCTTTGTTTGTTTTTCGAGACAGGGTTTCTCTGTGTAGCTTTGGAGCCTTTCCTGGAACTCACTCTGTAGACCAGGCTGGCCTCGAACTCACAGAGATCTGCCTGCCTCTGCCTCCTGAGTGCTAGGATTAAAGGTGTGTGCCACCACTAGGACTATCCTTTCTTAACTTCTCATAGTCATCTTAAGAGTGAGAGACTGGTCAAGTTTAAGGATTTAGGCTCTTGGGGTGGGGGTGGGTGCATCTCCTGAATGATATTATTGAGCTGCTCCTAACCAGAAAGGGTGACCATCAGATCCTGGTTCCATTGCTTGTTTCTATCTCCCCATCATGCCCAAGGTTAGCAAGATGGGGGGGGGCAGGTTCCAGGCAGGTTGAGTTCCCCTAGCCTTTGGCTGGGAGCTGCGGGGGTGGTGGCTAAGACATGTGTGGGCTTGCGCTCTCTCTCTCTCTCTCTCTCTCTCTCTCTCTCTCTCTCTCTCTCTCTCTCTCTCTCTCTCTCTCTCTGTGTGTGTGTGTGTGTGTGTGTGTGTGTGTGTGTGTGTGTGTGTGTGTGTGTAAATAGCAGCAGTGGCCTTTGAAGGAATGTGAGTGTGTTGGGAAGTATGGGGAACAGGGCACCACCTCCAGGCAGCCTGGGCCTGACACACTGGTAGCTGGCCCATTTGGCCACGTCAACCCCCCTGAGGAAATGCCCCATTAGGACAAAGGGCTCCCCTAGCCAGGCATTGCCCCACCCTGCAAAGCACTGAAAGCCTGGCAGCCTTGCCTGTGGGCCACCCCTTCCACACCCTGCTCGCAGTATGGCTCTCTCTCCCCGCCCCCCCAGCCTAAGGATAGAGGAAGGGCAGAAGGCTGATTTGATATCTCCACCCAGCAGGACTGGTCTGGCCTTCATTGTCATAACCCCCTGGTTTGGGGAGAGCCAGAGATCCCGACCTTGAGGTTGACCATTTTCTTTCTTCTGGGCAGGTTCCTAAGTGGGAAGGGCTTGGTGATCTACCCGAAGATTGGAGACAAGCTGGACATCATCTGCCCCCGAGCAGAGGCAGGACGGCCCTACGAGTACTACAAGCTGTACCTGGTGCGACCCGAGCAGGCAGCTGCTTGCAGTACTGTGCTTGATCCCAATGTACTGGTCACTTGCAACAAGCCACAGCAGGAAATCCGCTTTACTATCAAGTTCCAGGAGTTCAGCCCCAACTACATGGGCCTGGAGTTCAAAAAGTATCAGGACTACTACATTACATGTGAGTGCCCACCCACCCATTGCTGGCTCTCCCGCTAGGCTTAGCTCTGCCTTCCTGCAGCCTCCTTGTCTCTGGGGTAACAGTGGCAGCTTCTTAGTGCTACAGAGATACCAGCTGCACACATGTACAGTGCTGCCCGACGTGATCCCCTCTGAAGACTAGCATGCTCTCCTGGAAGCCTGGCCTTGGAGTTCTGAGCCCAACATCCAGCACACGCACGGCAGCTTGCCTCGGCTCCAGGGCATGGATGGGAAAGGCTTCCTATCCATGTTGCTTTCTTTCTCTTTCTTTCTTGAGAATGACAGAGTTGACAGAATCCTTTGAGATCAGCCAGCTGTTCTGCCTTTTGGGGGTGGTGGTGGTGGTGCTAGGGCCCCAAGAGGTGAATAGGGTTGAGGATGTAGCTCAGTGGAATTTGTGACTAGCATATGTGAGTCAATCTTTAGCCGCTCTGTCCTCCTCCTCTGACCCCCCCCCCCAAAGGGGTGCGTTGGTGCCTTGCCTCATCATAAAAGCAATTGCCCCCAGGTTGACCAAGGCCTGGCCACAAGCAGTGCCCTTAGCAGAGGGGCTCAGGGCCTGGCAGAGCTGAGTTACTTCCTATTGGGAGGGCAGGAAGAGGGTTTGAGGAGGGCAGGAAGGTAGGAGCTGTTTGCCATGGTCCACTCCCAGTGGCTGTCCTGGTCTCTCTGTTGATGATTCTGTCAAAAACGGCAAAAAAAAAAAAAAAAAAAAAAAAAAAAAAAAAAAAAAACACCGAAAACTGCAGTTTCTGATTTCTCTGGCCTTTTCCTGCAGCAACGTCCAATGGGAGCCTGGAAGGGCTGGAGAACCGGGAGGGAGGCGTGTGCCGCACACGCACAATGAAGATCGTTATGAAAGTTGGGCAAGGTGAGTGTCCAGTTAAGCCGTGGGTGCTGGCAGCTGGTTGGGTTGTCTTGGTAGTGGGGACGTGGTCAGCAGGTTAGAGGGACAGAGGTCTAATATTCAGGCCAGTCTTAACCCACCCAAGGTAACCGAGGGGCTCCGTGCTGGCCACCCTCTCTCTCACATGTCTTCTTTCTGCCCGTAGATCCAAATGCCGTGACACCTGAGCAGCTGACTACCAGCCGGCCAAGCAAGGAGTCAGACAATACTGTCAAGACGGCCACACAGGCCCCTGGTCGGGGACCCCAGGGTGACTCTGACGGCAAGCATGGTAAGTCTATATAGGTTGTCCGCAGCGGGCATTGCTCAGACACCCTCTTGGTCTCGTATCTGAAGACATTCCTGCTGGCCACCCCGTCCCCGAGCCTTGCCGCCTATCTCTGGTGAATGTGGGTGGCGGCAGGGGACGCGGAGAGTTCCTTCAGCCCTGGGATTGTTTTGCAGCCATCATGGTTGACGGCCTCATCTCCTGCTGCCTGACGAGCGATTTCCTTCCCTTTCCTCAGAGACTGTGAACCAGGAAGAGAAGAGTGGCCCAGGTGCAGGCGGTGGTGGCAGCGGGGACTCGGACGGCTTCTTCAATTCCAAGGTGGCACTGTTCGCAGCCGTCGGCGCCGGCTGCGTCATCTTCCTGCTCATCATCATCTTCCTGACGGTCCTGCTGCTCAAGCTCCGCAAGCGCCATCGCAAGCATACGCAGCAGCGGGCGGCCGCCCTCTCGCTCAGTACCCTAGCCAGCCCCAAAGGGGGGAGTGGTACGGCGGGCACCGAGCCCAGCGACATCATCATCCCCTTACGGACTACAGAGAACAACTACTGCCCCCACTACGAGAAGGTGAGTGGGGACTACGGGCATCCTGTCTACATCGTCCAGGAGATGCCACCTCAGAGCCCGGCGAACATCTACTACAAGGTCTGAAGGCCCCCCCCACCCCCGCGTGGCCTCAGGCTCCACAGGACACACGGCCTGGACTGGCCTCTCTTTTCTCCCCCACACCCCTCCCCTTGCCAGCTGTGCCCACCTTTGTATTTAGTTTTGTAGTTTCTTGGCTTTTATAATCCCCCGTTTGCCCTGCCCCCTGGGCTTCGGAGGGGGGTGCTTGTGCCCCCAATCCCCATGCTCATGTGCCTTCCCCCTCTGGCCAGGCCTCTGGGCCCTGTGGGGGCGCCCTTTCTTGGAGGGCAGGGTTGGACACTGAAGGACTGCAGGCAGGGAGACCGCCTCCTGGCCCTGCCCCCTCCTCATCCCCTTTCCCCCTTCCCGGGACTGCTCGTCCACTCTCATCACTGTTTTTAATGCTTTTGTGTTCATTTTTTTTTTTTAGCTGTCAACTCATTTTCATCTGTTTTTTGAAAAAAAAAATGGAAAAATGTACAAGGCAGCCCCTCCCCGGGTCTTCTGAGCCTGGCCTGGCCCGGTATAAGAGGGCCTGGGGCAGGATGTGGGCAGCCAGAAGCCTAGGATGGCATTTCTTTCACAGTCTCCTCAGTATTTCAGGGGAGTGGGGGAGGGCACACCAGGGCTGTTTCTGCCTGTGAGGGAAGAGGAGAGAGCCGCTGGGCAAGGGGTCCCACCCTCCTTTTCTGACCCCCCTAATACAATGCTGTCCTAGTACCGGGGTAGTGACTACCAACCACCCTTCTACCAAAAAAAAAAAAAAATCCCTTCCTTGTGGGATTCTTGGGCATCTCCTGCCTCCTTCACTCTCACGGTAATTAATGTCTTAATTGGCTGTTGCCTGGGGAACAGGAGCGCTGCTGCAGGCCGATGACCTCATGGGGGGTGGAGGGAGGTGAGGTGCCCAGGTGGCTATTCGCCCTGCAGAGCTGGGAGGTTCCCCCCCACCACCCCGCCACCCTGTTCTCTCCTCACCTTTGGTATCTTCGCTTTTGTGGGGAAACAGAGGTACGAGGTGGAGATGTAAGCGGGTGTAAGGCCAGGTGGCCGGCTCCTTCTCTGGGCTCTAGTACGAGTAAGCACACCCCCCCACACCCACTCCCTCGATTTGGCTCCCACCGGCCCCCCCCTAGTTTTGAGCTGGGGCCCGGAAAGAGGAAGAGGCTGCTTGGGGCTGGGCCAGCCTGCAGTGCACCTTCGACCCCAGCTCCTGGCCAGCGCGGCTGCTAACAGACTGCCACTCAAGTGCGCCTTGCGGGCGCTCCTAGGGCTGCCGTGGAAGGCAGGAGCTGGGCCTTCCACCAGCCACCTCCACACCGCCTCCTGGCCAGCTGCCCACCCCGGTGCCAGGTGCGAGAGGGAGCGAACCAGCCAGCCCCTTCCAGGTGGCAGTCGGAAGGGATTTTTGTTTTTGTTTCTGTTGCCATTTGTGTAAATACTAGTCTTTTTGGAAGAAATAATGTAAAGATGTTTTGTATAAACTCTGAATTATTTTCTTGTTGCTTTTTTCTTAGAAAAAAAAATGAGAACTAAAAAAAAAAAAAAAAATTAACCACATGGAGAAATGAGCGTAAACTAGTGTCATGATGTCAGGGAATGAAGTGTGACCGTGTGTCCGTGCGTGTGCCTGCACTTACATGTGAGAGCGTTCCTTCGCCTAACTGCAGGTCATCAGGGCAGGTGGCTGCCCCGTGAAGCAAGATGTTCCGAGCGTGCATTCTCCTCCTGCTGTTTTCCACCTCCCGAGTTGTCTCTGCCCCCTTCTTCTGCTGTCACGGTGCCACCCTGACTATCCTGTCACCTCTGTGGCTGTGGCACAGGGCAGAGGCATCTGCCCAGGCTGGCACCAGGCTCAGCCAGAAAGGGTTGTTGGGGAGGGGGGGTGTTCCCATGGGGAACCTGGGTGTGTCTGCAGGTACTGCCACCAGCTGGTTGGAGCTAAATGTGGAACCTGCCGGCAGGCCCAGCCCTGTCCTGCCCCAAAGATGCCTGGAGCTGGAGAGAAACAACGTCAGAAGATGGCCCACTGGGCACTGGGGTGACTTCAACCTGCCCATCTCACCTCTCAGCCCAAACAACCTTCCTTTTCCTGGCTTCACAATGGGGCCACACCAGAGGTGCCACCATGGTCTGCTTGGTGGTTTCTGGCTGGCAGTGGTGGCTCTGAAGCTAGAGCAGCCCTGGAGTGCTCAGGCTCCCTTCCACAGGCGGATGAGTAGTCACCTTGCTCAGGTCATAGTGTGGTAAGGGCGCTAAACAGGGTTTGGCCTCCATCCTATGGACAAGAGGTGCAGACTGGCGGAGCCCAGAGCAGCCTACGGGCCTTGTCAAGGGACTGCCTCTGGCTATGGCTGAGACAGATAGATATCAGGGCAGGAGGACAAGTGAGATCCCACCAGCTAAAAATGGGTAGGAAGGTGATAGAGGAAAGGAGGAGGAGGAAGGAAGGGGAGGGTGAGGACGAGATCCAGAACAGGGAGCCTAGTGGAGCAGGCATGGAGCAGGCCCAGCTCCCGGGGAAGTGGGGAACACAGAGAAGGAAGCCAGAGGAGGGCCTGGAGACTGTGGGATTTGCCTGAGGAGGGGAAAGAGGCTGGGCTAGAGAAGGGCTGGGCCAGCCTGGGGTGCTGCTGGAGCCAGCTGGGGCCGAGGCTGTTTATTTGGTTTCTCATTAACCAAAGGAAGTGCTTGGATCAGATCAGGCCTCGGCTGTTTGACTGCTTGCCCAGAGTGGGGCCCAGCTTGGGCCGAGGGTCTCTGACCAGGGCTAGCTCTGGATAGATTAGTGTCTCTGACTGACCTCAGGTCAGGTGAGCCTTACCTGTACTTCCCCAACAGAGTGGCCTTTAGAAGTCGCCTACTCTGGCCCAGGGTGTCAGTTGCCTTTGCCCCAGTGGTGATGGGGTGGGGCGGAGGATGGAGGATCCTGGGATAAGAAACATTAGAAGACCAAGGAAAGTCTTGGGCAGTCTACCCAAGACCAGAAAGCGTGTCTCCTGCCATGAGTGCTGTGCCTGGTACGTCTTAGCACACCATGTGGTGTAGGGTCCTTCACCAGGGTCCCACGTGGCACTTTTGTCAAATACATAACATAGTCCATCTCTCTGAGCTGCAAAAGATGCCCCGTGAGGATGGCAGGTAGGGAAATGACCTACCTCATATTTGACTGAGGGAACGAAACCCGCACTTACCCCCAAGTATCCCCCAGGTGAAGAGGGGGCATAAGGACACAAATAGACGTTCCCTGAGAGGGCAGTGCATGCCCGCCCCCATTTGCCTCTTGTCCTCCTTGTGGGCCTTGAGGAACAGGAGTGGAGTCCTCACCCACTTCCCGTGCCCTCTTGTCTGCTCAGGGAAGGAAGGACCAGGCCTAGGTAGCTGGAAGCGGAGGGGGTGGTCCTCCAGCGGCTGAGTTCCACAGCAGCCCCACCCTCTAGTCTCCTTCCTGCCCCAGCTGGGCCCAAGCTCCTGGTGAGTCAGGGCCAGAGGATGCTGCCCAGGTGAAGGTGGGGCTGCCTGACTTCCTCTGCAAGCAGAACCCTATTGACCTAGGAAACCCAAGCGAGCAGGTGCTACCCAGGCCTTGGTTCCTCTGAAAAGGATGGGCTTTGTAGAACTTGAAGGCCAAAGCTCCTTTGAGCTTGTTGACACCCAATTTTAAGATCCCAAGAAGCATTTCGTGTGTTTGCAGGATGTGGATGGCCTGGTGCCCTCTACGCAGGGCCATACAAATAGATCCAAAAATCAAAGGAGGGTTGCGACCCACCTGGGGATGTCCTGGGTTGGACCCTGCTAAGCAAGTGGCCCTCTGGCCAGCTGGCGTCAATCACTCTTGGACGTCAAGGCCACCCACCTGTTTGCCTGGCCTCCTTGTCCTGCTTGGACATATCACAGTCCTAGGGACACCCCAGCTTAGTCAGCCTGAGGACTGTCCTTGTCCATCTGATGCTGTGTCCTGTACAGCTGGCCATCAGATCAGGGGGACCAGGGCCCCAGCTGCTACTTGTTACATTGGCACCCCGCTTTGGGAAGCAGCTGAGAGGGAAAAGCAGCAGCTACCCAAGATGGGGTCACAGAGCCCCGAATGAGAGCAATCGAAGGTCAGGGGGAGAAAATAATTGTAGGTTCTGTTTCCAATGGTTGATTATTCAGCTGGTAACGAAAAGGGGAAGAGGAAATGCTGGGAGTCGTGGGGCATACGGAATTGATGAAGGTCGATGGGAGGTGAGAGCACTTCCCTCTGGTCCACAGGGAAGAACCCCAGGCTTGTGAGCCACTGGACCCCTGAGGGCCTGGCCCTCCTCGGCCGTGACTCCTCTTTTGACCAGGCCTCTGCCTTTTTGGGTGTTCATTTCCCTCTCTGATAAGGTGGAGGTAGTATTAGATTTTTTTTTCATTTTTTTTAAAAAAAAGAAAAAAAACTACAGCAGAAGTGAGAATCCTGATCCCAGGCGCCCCACATTCTAGAAAAGTCCGTCAGTGCTTGGCTAAATTATTTCAGCTTACCTGGTGACTGGCTGATGGGAATGTGAGAGGCAGATCAAACATAGGCAGATTCCAAACCGGGATTCTACAGGCAATCTTTCATGCATGTATGTATTTGCCCCCCAACAAATGTTGAGTACATGGCCCCCTGCGGCTTCTTCAGTGCGCAGTGTAGTGGATAGTTTGGCTTACCTTGTGCTCTGTGTGCTCTTTTCGTCATAGCTAACCAAAGCTGGCCTCTTGCAGTGTTCCTAGGATGTTATGCTGCTGCTCTCATACTAGTCTGCTTCCCTCCAGCAGCAGCAGCAGCAGCAGCAGCAGCACACCCCCTCCCCATTTTGGCCCCAAACGCTTCCATAGCCTATTAAGAAGGAGCTGCCCAGCCTGCTTTCCCCAGCAGCCACTTGGCTGAAGGTGATGGAGAGGGGCCGGCTTCTGATGAGTTTCCCCTTCTCTGCCCAGATCTGTAGGGAAAAGGATCCATGTGACAATTCCAGGTCCAGGAGAAACAAGGGGAGGCCACATTAGCTGAATGTGAGCATTTTTCCTGTTGTCTCCTTTCTAGACCAAACCTGTCATGAAGGAACTGAGGCCCAGAGACCAGAGGACTCTTCCTAAGGGCACACGGGCGCTTGCTCTCTTGTGTTGGAGACAGAGACAGAGATGGGGGAGGGGGAGGGGGGAGGGGAAGGAGAAGAGGAGGCCAGAGAGCAGGGCCAGGTGTGATCATCAGGGGGCTGCAGGGGGTTGAGGCAACTACATCTACATGTGTGTAACGTTTATATTGACAAACTGGGTAAGTTTGTTCAAGGTGATTACCAAACCAGCTGAAGAAAATGGGGCCATGGGAGAATTACGCCTGGTTCAAAGCTGACTTAAAAAGTGCACTAACAGTGTGCATTTCTCCCCGGGGGCCGCTCTTCTGGGGCACCTCACACAGCTCTGAAGCCATTCATCAGCAGAACAGCTTGACAACATCTGTAAGGGCCTTCGACCCACTGGTTTGTGGCCGACTCTGAATCGGGCACTCCGTGGCGACGCAGAGGCTTAAAGATCCAGTGGCCTCCCACTTCCCAGGGTACTGAGCCCCGCTGTCCAGCCTCCCGGGGTACACCTCATGTCAGGCTCCCTCCATCCCCCTACCAGGCCGCCAGGGCCTTTCTGGCCAGCCTGACAGTTAGCTGTCCCTGCCCTGTCTTCAGTCCCCCAAGCACACACTAATAGCCATGGCAGTAACATGCTTTCACATGCAAATTGCTATGGAATTCTCAGCCCCTGCCGGTGCCCCAGCCCCCAAGGCCTCCCCCTGGGCAGATTCAGAGAAGAGAATGGAATCTTTCAAGCTGTTAGGGCGTTTTGAGACCTTGGAGTCCGGCCCCCTTGTTAGATGGATGGGAAAACTGAGGCCCAGAGGAGGGGGGAGCAGGAACTGCCCAAGTCACGCAGAGAGTTCACCGGACTGGCCCGCACCCAGGTCTCCCGACTTCCAGTCCATTGCCTCTTCAACACCCACCAGCCCCCCCCCTCCCATCTGGCTTACTATGGGCCCAGGGATCCCTCTCTCTGGCGCTCTAGTTTCTCCTAGGCACCCCTCGGTGGGGCCTGGGAGTGTGAAATCTGGAAAGAAAAGGCCAGAGGTGTCTGTGACTTAGGGCATTCCCCAGAGAAGGGAGCCTTTCTCCTTTGAAACGGGCAACAGGAGGGCTTGCTAGCTGGTCTTTTTGCCTCCCATTCCCGAGTCGGGCCAAACTGCTCCTCCCCTAGCCCGGAAGGCTTGCTGAGCCCCAACAAGCCTGCTCCAGTCCAAGGCCTCTGTGGCCTCCCCAGGTGTGTGCATTCTCACTGCTCCAGGAAGTTCCAACCAGCAAAGCCTGGGCCCTCCGAGGTCCTGAGAACTCTGGTCCCAGCTGGGGTGTGGAAAAAGGAAACCACCACCAACAAAACAAACAAACAAACAAACAAACAAACAAACAAACAAACAAACAAACTCCCTTTCCTTGGCTTTAGCTGAACAAGGTGGAGGAATTTTCTGAAATGCACTTTACAAGGAAATGAACACCAAAGGAGGGAAAGAGGGAAA